ATTGTCAGGTTCTTGTTAAGATTGTTCTAGTATCAATCATATTAGGGTAGTTATTATTATTGTTATGGTTATTTTCTCAAATTAGATAAATTGTTGAAAAGAATTTATTTGTTTAAATTTATTTTAGAGTTTTTTAATTGCATAAACAATATAAGTAATAACTATCCAACATAACAGTGTAGTTCATCGGTAATGACAGAGCGCCAAGGACAAACTAAATGCGGTGACTTTAATGGTGGTATAGACGGAGACTAGAACAGGCGGTTAAGAAGGAAGATAACCTTCTTTCCTATTATGAATATATTACTTTTCATATTTTAAAATTTTGTTTAATCCGTAATGTTTTTTCTGTAGTATTAATTAAATTCCTAAAAATAAGATCTAACTCTTATATATGTTTTTTACCTAATGCAATTATATCCCACTATATTCGTATATTCTCAGCTCACTTCGAACCACCATGCTTTTGAAGTCTATTAATACATTCCTCCATGAATCTTATATATATATATATATATCAGTATGGAAAAAGAAATGCATTCCATAAATATTCTTCATACTAGTAATCGATTACTCTTTTTAAAAAAAAAATATTATTTTATGGTTCGTAGATACACCGATCCATACCCACTTAAATTAAGTGACAGAACATAGGAGAAGGATAGAAACCAATTCCAAATCGCGAAAAGGCGATATCTTAACAGCAGTGGAATAGAATTCCGTCAATACCATATTTGAATAATTGAAAGGTCTTTATAATTGTATAGTAATGTGGTTTGGTTTCGTTAATGAGAAAGTCTATAGCTTTTTTATGTCAATTGTGGTTGACAAGCTGAAAAAAGTTACTTAAAGAATAGTGGATTATTTTTAACCATATGGAAGTAAAAAAAAAAGTTTTATGACTTTTATATCTCAATATAAAAATTTTCGCGCTATGGTCCTCTGCCCTGTTGGGACGCCAAGGTGATCGAACTTTGGAAGGATGGAAGTCTTTTGTAGAAGGTGATAAAACAAACAACGGCCATTGTCCACTACGACCAGCCTATTGTCTTGTGTATGTCTCATCAAAGTCAACAAAAACAAAATAATTATTTATTTACTCTGCGAACTATAGTTTTAATAAAAGTTAAAAAAAAAAGAGAACGGCCGCCTAGTGCCATCCTTGGTTCTTGATTAGCCTTAGCTTGCTACTCCCTCAGCTTTGTACAGCCTCCTTTATAGTTTCCCCATTGCCACCTTGATTAGTTTCAACGGCACTATGAATAAGTTGGACAAAAGAAATAAAGGTTATACCTGGGTACCATGCAGTAAAATTTTCTATTCAATTATAATTATATATATATATAATCCATCCATAATTCATTCATCTTATAATCGCAATAGTATCCAGCACTGGCTGTTCCACGGAGGAGGGAAGTTTACGATTGAAGCTCACTCCTCCAAAATGAAAAATATTTTATTTTCTTCATTGTTACATAGCGTGTAATTTTTCTGTGAGCAAGCGTAGACTCTTGACGTTATATCAGTCTGGACCGTAGCCCATGGATCTTGACAGAATTATCAAACTTCAATAATTAAAACAACACTTAATTTCTTCTTGATCAGTAAATTTTAAATAAATTGAGAATAAAATTACTTGTGTCAAGTATTTTATGTATTTGAAGAAATCCGTTTATACTTTAAGTGAGATGTTCATCTGCCTAGATAATTAACGGATGTGCTTCAGGGGCGTTAACTGTACGGCAAGGAGGAAATACGAGTGGCCTACGCAAATAGAAAAAACTCTTCACGAAGAGGCTGCCTTCACGCTCATTTAAACCTTGCCATCTTTTGTTTTTAGTCACGACCACCGATTCTTCGTGACCTCGACTTCAACAACGGATGATATTTTTGATGGTGTCTTTGTTGATAGGTACCTCTTCAAGAACACAGTTTCCGTGGTGTGTGTTAGGTTCATATTCCGGAACGTAAATCAATTGAAGATAATTTATGAAAATATAATATTATTAATTGGTATTCGGTTTACTAAATATTATTACAGAATATTAAGTCGAGATAAAGAAAATCTATTAAGCACTGGAAGAATATTTTTTCTCTTTGACAACTATGAGTCTCTGGACATCTCTATTCAAGGAGAGAAACAAAACATTGGACGGCTGCTCAACTTTGTTGAGTTGCTAAATAACAGAGCGTACTCATCAATCAATACATAATACTGGATAAAAATATAAGAGAAAGATAGGTCGGACAATTGGAATACGTATCAGATATGCCAAGAACGGTTTATAGAATCAAATAAGCGAAGGCCTAGATCAATATATGTGGTGATGAAGGATTCCTTACGATTCCAAAATAATTGTTTCTGTTATGGTCTGCCTCTGCTCCCTTCTAACACCGAGCCTCTGCAAGAAATTACTTGTATTAAGAGGGATGCTTCTGCTGCGTCCGGACCATTATCCTTTACCTGAGTATTCTCTCTCACCGAATTCATCTCTGTACTTTTCCTTCAGGTAAGGTATGTTTATAAAATAGATTTTTCGATAGCGTATGTACTTATGAGATTTATTTTTCTACAGGTCACCAAGTATTCAAGCTATTAAACATGATTTAATCTTTTAATTTTTTGTGAATCCAATGGTCGATGAATTTTTGTGTCAATCCTGGTATGTTTAGCGCTCCTACATTTAACTAGGTTTTATTAAACTGTGTAATAAAAATATATATCGTTTAAGATCTATATCTGTTTAAGATAGATAGATTTGTGCCTTATCTTATAAACTCTAATGAGCACTGAAATCTGAAATACTAATATCTAGCTCTCCAGAATTCCTGTTTCTCAAAGTCCTTAGAGGTGTCCCAAAAAAAAAATTGACAAATGCGGAATAAATACATCATTAGAATACGATCAATGTTGCCACCTCATGTAATTAATCAATATATTGTTTATTTAATTGATTTATTTGTCCACATTCGTAAAGTTCGACAAATATAAAATATATATTGAAATTTCAATGGAAGTAAATTAAAATATATTTTTGTCTTGCCCATAGGTTCATTCTCACGGTATCGGGTTCGGAATCAAGAAAGAAATCTTCTTCTTGAATTTGGAAGATGGATACTTTGGCTGCCAAGTAAACGAATCAACCGATTTTCTTCAACTGTACGAACTTTCTCGACTGTGCGATGGAAAACACGATTGTTACAGAGGATCAGACGAACTCAGGAGAGAACTGAAGTGTTCGAGTAAGTGATGAATAATTAAATAGAATTTTATTATTATTATATTTTACAATATAATTTTTACAATATACATTTTATTTCGAAATTATATTCGATACTTATTGTATTGTCATCTACTTCTAACGATACTAATTTCAAATCATTAATGAAAGTGATTAAAATATCCTTGCTTACTCACTTTTTTTTTCTAAATAATGTTTATTTAGAATTAATTTTATATACAAATTAGTTTTTTTTTTAATATTCATTTTCATTTTCAAATGTAAGTAGCTATTAATTTTGTGTAAACGTTTTGACTATTATCATTTCTAAGTTTTTAAAGTGTTTCATTCTTCTTGATAGTTTAAGATTTTTCCAATTTTGAATCTCATCAATAGACTAGAGCAGTTATTATTTTATTGAAGGATTGGGCACCTTTCTAGCTCTTAATAGTAACCTTTCACGATGACCCCTCTCCTGGTCTGAAGGTTCAACTTGAATGGTACACTTGTTTAGAACCATATTAAGCCTTTGTTACTTACTTCAGAAGTATATTTTGGTTCAACTATTGCCTGATTTAAATATTTACTGATTTATGTATTACCTGACAGAAGAAGAGCATTGTGCATAATGCAAAGGCTTTAAATTCAAAGAGAATTCTTTCAGCATTTTCTTCATCGTATAGGAACATACGAAAATTATGGAATCTTTCACTTACTCCACAATTCGCTCAGTTGATGACGTAACAACTCAACTTTTGAGTAATATAGAAAAATAACTGTTTATGGAAAAATATGTTAACTAGACGTCAAACACAACTCCTTCCACTCCTCCTCCACCCCCCAAAGAAAAACAGTATACAAACAATTTTTGAATATTTGACGTTAGAAAAGAAAAGAAAAACTTAGACTGTTTCCTAAGTTTATAATCCTCATATGTATGTGTATTGTGTATATATATATATATATATATATATATATATATATATATATATATATATATATATATATATATATATATATATATATATATATATACATATATATATATATATATATATACACACATACATACATATGCACATTCTTGCGAAAATGGTCCCATTAATGAATGCAATCTGTGAAGAGAAGTTATTTATCTCAGATGTAAAGTTAGAATGTGAATTCAAGGTTCCAGTTGAAAACGCCGGCATTGCAATTGCATTCGGAAGTGCAACGGTTCTGTTAGCCAACCAAGGACAGAGGAATATCTGTTACACAATGGTTGCATCCTCTCATCTGGTCCACATGACGGAATAAAGGTCATGGTCGAAACAAGGGCACGCTATATTTATGTTGGATCCACAGTTATGGATTATATATATATATATATATATATATATATATATATATTTAAGCTCTGCAGTCCCTCAGAGGATACAGAATATGGCGTAAGAATTATGGAAGGTTAATATTTCTGAAATAGCATTATGTTTTGGTTGTCTTTCCTTTTGTATATACATATATATACGACCTCTCTGTGTATATATATAAAGTCATATACATATATATACACAGAGAGGGAGGGAGAGAGAGAGAGAGAGAGATGGGAGGATGGGGGGGGGGAGAGAAATACAGCGCACCCTCCAAAAAAATATTTCAGAGAGAACACAACTACAGCCGAAGCGATGTAGAATCAGAGTGCGTACGCATGGAGAAGAAGGATCAATAGAGAACAGCGTATAAAAACTGGTCGATCAGTATCTCGTAATATGAAGGCAAGGAGGTTAAGACGGGCGGGACATGCATCTGGAATCAATCTATGAGGAAGCATCTACACAACAACGAACGCCTGAAGAATTAGCAATAGACCACGTGGAAGGTCAAAAATCAGATGGATAGTTTGAATGATCAAAGATTCTGTTAAAGTGTATGCTGATAACTGATTAGAAATAATCCAAGATAGGAGAAGATGGAGAAGGTCGGTTAATGCAGCAAAAGATCTACAAGGTCTGTAAAGCCTACAGAAAAAATATATACATACATATGTGTGTGTGTGTGTGTATATATATATATATATATATATATATATATATATATATATATATTATATTATATCAGACTGAACCATAACCCAGGGATCTTGACAAAATTATCAAAATTCAATAATTCGGCTACATCTAATTTCTTTTTAATCAGTTTATGTCATGTCTTTTACGTATTTGAAGAAATCCGATTATACTTTACGTGAGAAGTTCATCTGCCTAGATAATTAAATGATGTGCTTCAGGGGCGTTAATTGTACAGTAAGAAGAGAAAAAAAAAACTGTTCACGAAGACGCTGCCTTCACTCCCATTTAAACCTTGCCATCTTTTGTTTTTAGTCACATATAAATATATATATATATAGTTGGAAATTGTTTTAATATAAACGATGTAAAATATTGTTTATTTTAATGAAGCTTTTGCGCAGTTGCAAATGGAATTTGAGATTAAAATAAAGTAGTAAAACATATTTAATTTATGGTGTAATTGATTTATTATATTTAACATAATTATTATAATACATGCAAACGTTCCATTGACTTACCTCATGTTACAGATGACTGTGGCCACGAGTCCGGCATTGAATGCCAGAACGGTGCCTGCCTCGATCATCAGTGCCATTGTAACGATGGTTTTGGAGGCTGCTCCTGCGAAGTGCCAGGTAAGCTAATTAGTTTATTAATTAAAGCTCATCTGTTATAATTATCTTTGAAACATATTATTATGTTCCAAATAATTAAGGTTATGGCTATCTTTTAATCGAATCTATACTATATTTCATATGACCAACAATTAATCAGATCTAAACAGAATTGTACATCTGAGAGTTTTAAAGACGGATAATCACCCAAGTTCATCGGAATCGCTCCAAAAAATATGGGATGTTCTGCTTCAAGAAATATGAAAACAATTCACAGTAATTTATTGAGCTAGTAGACGGTGCTGAGGCTGTCGGCATGTCCCTGGCTTGAGTTATCGAGATTTTATTTTTAAAATACTAAAGAGGATTCCATATTGTTAGTATAAAATAATAATTATAAAAAAAAAGGATAGAAAGAGCAGAATAAACAATGAAATCAAAGTAGTTTATTGAATTATAACTGATGTAACGACCCGATACTCAATTAAATAATTATGTTAAATTATAATACGGAAAGGTCGAATAGAGGGTCATTAATGACCAAACTCTGCAGAATTTTGCTAGATAATATTTTCAACAAAAGAGTTCAATTGATGCATGGGCCGATTTCGAACGGAGAAGGAGTTAAGACCAATTTTATGTTTTTCTCAAGGTAGTCACATTTTTTTTATTGAATAAGAAGGAATTGCTCAAAAACTTTCCAAGTTCTATATTCATTTTTAAGTACACGACTGTAAAGTAGACAATCTTAGACATAGACAATTCGCTTTACAGAGATATGTTGCTTGTGTATGGGTATTGTAACTGCAGCAGTACAGTGTCCGTATTATACCTCCTGAAAGTCTCTTTTATTATCGACCTTAGTAAATTCAAAGTCCCTTTTATCATTGATCTTAGTAAATTTAATCATTGTTTTCTCAAACAAGATGTTGTCTGCTTTACGATGACTTACTCTACTTAACATTTAATCAACTTGAACAGTTTTTGAGCAATACCTTCTTATTCAATAAAAACGTTTCTACCTTCAGAAAAACACAAAATTGAACTAATCATATGAACTTTTTTGTTGGAATCACTATCCCTCTCCCCTCCCTCCCCAGAGCTTGGTCGTTAAGAACTGGGATACGTTGTATATTCACAGCATATTTATTTATGCGTAACATACAATACAAGCAAAAAAAATATTTTTGAGTCGTTAGTGAATGCCTGAAGGACGTCTTCATACTAAGCCGGTACAAACAAACAATAATGCGGGCTTAGCATACAATGAAGGCGCTCGTTCTTTTGAATTGAGCTTGGAACTGTCGTTCCAAATAGTTCCATTTATTCACATAACTCTTCATAAGAGGTGAAAGTAACCAAAGCGGTTCATGAATTCAAACAGTTATATAAATAAATAAAACTGATATAACCCTAAATACCTGTCGCGTAGATTATTTTTCATGATCTACACTATTAATATCTCAAATAACTGTTGTTTCAACTGTTGAATTACATATTTATCTATATCAATATTTGATACATATTTTTAAAATAATAATAATAAATGGTATCCTAAATTATTTTTAATGCAGAATTAGTTTAATTTTCAAAACATCATAATGATAGAATATGATATAATATGAAAGTATTTGCGAAAATATAGCGTATTTTTATATGGTAATTGATGGCCTGTCAGTTAATAATGATCTATTTACTATATCTGAAAACTTCACCGTAAACAATCACAAATGCATGCATTCCTCTGTCTACCTTAACATAGAAAACTCTTCAGAAAATCCGTCAAGTTAGAAACTTCTTACTATAACGCAAATAAATTTACCCAAAAATATCCTAATATTAATATCTTGTATGTTACGCATTTGGCCAGAAATAAAAAAAACAACCTTTTAATGAAAAAATGTTCACACAAATCTTCTTTCTAAATCTATTCAGGTGAAGGATCTTCTCTGACTAATGAATTGAAGATAGCAACGAGAACTTCTAACATTCAACAACCATTCTATAACACTCAATCGCCTTATTTATTTCTTGTATTGAAAATTTAGTAGTAATTTTAAGGAATCCTATTTAAAATAATAATAATGATTTTTTTTTTTGCTGTTTCAGACGAAAACGAATGCAAGAATCGACCTTGCGATGTGTTTGCTCACTGCACCAACACATTAGGAAGTTTCCACTGCTCATGTTTTCCTGGCTACACAGGAGATGGCTTTCACTGCCAAGGTATATTCAATTTGTTCTTAAAATCGTGCTCATAATTTTTACTGGTATTCCAATCAATAGCAATATAAGTAAGTTATGGGTGCCGTTGTTTGATGTGTTATAATTCATTTTGAAAATTAAAATGCAACTATGTTTTAGTATTAAAGTGGTTTTGTTATTGTAGTAAGCCCAAAACTATTAACTCCTGAAAACATAAAGTAAAAAAAATTCCCTACTTTATTCGATTCCCTAGTTAACCAACCAAGTTTTTTTTTCAATTGAATTTTTATCCAAATAGTACTTTAAACTCGCAGTAGGAACTTGAATAAAACTTAGCTACTTGAATAAAACTTAGGAACATAGTAGAAATCAAACAAATGAAATAACTTATTAGTAAGAACCTACATTGGCTGGATCCAAATAGAGATAATCTCTTATTCAATTCAGGTTCTTGAAAGCAAATTAAACAACATACTGACCTATTTAAATATTACCTGTAAGTTTACTGCTCATAACTTTCAGATAAAGTGCTTACAATAAACAATGAATCAAACAAAAAGGTAATCATTTGTCTCAATAACAATTAAACAACCTGGAAGCAATCACGACATATTCAGAGGATTGTTAGAACCTTAGAGTGGCAAGAGATTCCAGTTTTTACATCAATTCCTTATTTTTTAGATAAATCGGTGATCTATCAGGGAACTTTTCCTTTTTCCACTAGCTATTTTGAAATGGTCTATATATGTAACTCTATTTTAAACATTCTACTTTAAATGCCAAAATTTATCAACAGTTCTTTTCTAAGTTTACTCTTATATTATATACTCTGCCCTTAACAATGTCTTTATGATTAATAATCTTATAATGATTAATAAATCAAACTTTCCTGTTTCAGATATCAACGAATGTGATGATCCTGTGTTGGCTTCTAGGTGTGTCCCCAATGCTGAGTGCTGTAATCTACCTGCTCATTACCTTTGCAGATGTTTGCCAGGTTTCCAAGGGGATGGTGAAGAGGAATGTGTTGGTAAGTAAGACTGCAAACAAAACTACACAGAATACTATCCCATTATACTACATCAGGATATTCCTCCTTTTCATTCTATAATTTAATATATTACATGTTTCTTTTTACAGATATTGATGAATGCCAACATCCTGATGCTTGTGGGATTAATGCTGTTTGCCACAATATTCCTGGAAATTATACATGTGATTGTTTGCAAGGCTATGAAGGAAACCCATATAATGGAGTAATTAATATATATATATATATATATACATAAATTTTTTATAGTTGATATTTTTGGTGCTATATGGTTACTATTGATGTGTTTTCATATATGTTTAGTGTGCTGACATCGATGAGTGCTCATATCCAGGAGCTTGTGCCCCTGGAGCAGTCTGCAAAAACTCGGAGGGAGGCTACCTATGTGCGTGTCCTCCAGGAACTACAGGAGATCCAGTGCAAGGAAATTGTATCGATGTAGATGAATGCTTAGGAGCACCTTGCGGGCCAGGTGCCATTTGTGCCAACATCCCAGGAAGTTATGTTTGCAGTTGCCCACCTGGTTTCGCTGGTGACCCATACAGGCAGTGTGAAGGTACGATTAGCCCAATATTCTGTGACTGTCAGAACAGGATCAGCACAAACATCCTTAATTTTCCACTTCCTTCTTCCATTCTTCCCATTATGTACATAAATATCTGTAAAATAGCTAACTCTTTATTATTTGTATATATACTATTCTTTGTTCCTTCTTGTCATCAGAAATTAAAATTCAGATCAATATTGGCTGAAGGCTGAATAAAACAGCAATGTGATCTAGTGAGTCATTATTTTTATCTTGAACATGTGTGTGACTATTTTCTAAGAGTGTGGTTTCAGCCCACTACTCTTAATTCCAAGTTATAGTCAAATTCACTTTATTCATACAGTTCTAATGGTAAAACAATTTATATCAATAAATAGAAATTAACAAAAATTAAATAGAATATTTCAATCAATACACAGACGACAAGGAGGAACAGATTATGTAGAGTGTTGGTAATACTAATCTTAGCCTGTAACAAAAATGGCTTTTGGTAAACTAACCAATTGGGATTAGATATAGACGAGTGCAGTTCATCACCGTGCGGCAAAGGAGCCAAGTGTGAAAATCTCGTAGGAAACTTTAGCTGTGTCTGCCCAACTGGATATTCAGGAGACCCAAAAATCAGCTGTACTGACATCAACGAATGTGCCCGACCAAATGCCTGTGGAGTCAACGCACAATGTTCAAACACAGAAGGTTCCTTCACATGTTCCTGTCCAGGAGGGTTCTCCGGAGATCCTCATGTCTTCTGCCAGAGTTAGTGTTCATACACACCACACAATTTAGCTAATGAGGCTGTCTTTCTTTCTCATCCACACATTCTCGAGTTCCTGCTTCCTCTTTCCTCTTTCATTCTATCCAATCTATCATTATCTGTTTCCTAATCTCTGTTTGACTGACCTCATAAGAACAAATGAAATTTCAAATTTTCTCTTTTAAGTGGTTAGGACATACAGAAATGATTCTCTGTGTTCATAAAAACATTAGTGTTGGGAAAAAGGTAGTTTAATTATAAGGATGGCAATGCTTAGTACAATATTTCTCCGAAATTCAAATCATGATTTTGCTTTTAAGAGGTCAGCAAAAACTTTTAATTTTACATTTATGACAGTCTCCTACTATAGGCTTGTTATATTGTTCATAAATCACTCTAACTATACTTTTTGTTTCTACTCTAATGAAGTAAATTCAGAATTAAATTGAAACTAATATTACATGTATTTTGTCAGGCATCTTCCAAAAATGAGTATTTGATTTTTTTTTTTTTTATGACTACCTTTGGTTAAATGTTGAAGCCTAATCTTAGTTTAAACTGAATTTTTGAAATTTAGAAGATGCCTAACTACTGCTTTGCATGGGGTGACTGCTTTGCTTGCATGCCTCTATTTCAATGTACAGTGTCTTGTTTTCTTTTGTTTCAGCTCTTCATCACTGTCATTTTGTTTCATCAAATTTTTTCTTCTGTTTCTTTTGTATTGTTATAAACATTTATGTTTTCACAGGATTACTTTTTTAAGCCTTTTTTTCTTCTTAGTTTATTTTTTATTTTATGTTTCTACGCTTTACTGATTGTTCTCTTAGCAGCATGTTTTTCTAGACAAATCCAAAAAATAAAAAAAGCACAGGTATTTCTTCTTTTCTGGATGCTGCCTGTTGTCAATCAATCTGCCTTTCCCATCTGGAATGAGGTAATCCTTTATTCTTTTCCACACACACAATAATATTAGTCTTATGTTTCAAGTTAACATATTTATGTAGTTAAAAATAAACCTTTTGTTTTTCAAATGCTACAATATTTTTTTTAGTATATTCTTAACTGTTTTTTTAGTCATTGTTTGTTAACATTATTTTTTTATTATTATTAGCTAGTCATTTTTTTTCTTCAAAATTATGTAATATTTATCTTCTGTAGCATATGATAAACAAAGGAATAAATCAGAAATATCAATTATCTATTCAAGGTTATGACTACTTTAAAATTATTTGAACAAACTAACTTTCTTAGTATTACTTCCACTAGATAGGCAAAGTATTGCTTGATATCAAAACAATTAAATTAATTTTAAGGTTTTAATGTTCTTTGGGTTTAAGAAGTTACAATAATGAAATTAAATGATCATAGATAGGTCGGTTACGTAAAATCACCTGAAATATTTAGTCCTTAATTGGTACAGCTTGTAATTTTATATCTTCAATACTATTATTTTAGTGTTTAACCCCCATCCAAATATATTAAAATGGGTTGAACAATTTTCAATCAAGTATTTAATGAGTAATTACTTTGAAAATTATAAATTATTAAAACAAAATATCAAGAAATTTCTTAAAAGCTCGAATAATAAATATTCCTTATTTGTAAGAAAATTGTAACTCTTGAATCTTTTCTTTTATAAGATATCAAAAATATTAAAGGATATAACTGAAGCTAGATATATAAGTCATTATATTATCATATACTATTAGTATCAATGCATTAGTGTTTTACAAGAAAAAAATTATATCTTCATTGAGATTAAAATTATAATAAAATAAGTATACAAGAATAGATTTAGCAAACAAATTATATATTTCTTGTACTCTTAATGATTTCTTGATACCTATCAGCTTTTAAGAAACAAAAACTCTTTGAAAATTTCATGAATCTCACTATCATCATAGTTAACATAAAAAACAAAATTTCAAATCTGGTGATGTTCTGTCTAAGAAGATAAACAAATTTTATATATTTAGTTTACTTGGATTCTATGTAGTGTAAAATTTCATAATAGCAGTTGTTACAATTATCCTAATTAAGAAGGTGGACTATAATTCCAAAAAATATATATCGGGGATAATTTTATACTGAATTAAATAACTTTTAATGGATTTAAATTTTTTTTACACAATAGATTACTGTTCTTACTTTATTTTTTAGATAAGTGAAAATAGAGGGTGGGGTGGCCGAATGGCCTAATGAATGTGCACAGCATCGCTTTGCCCGGCAACCTGATACATGAGATACTAGATAAAAATAGTCACGAGTTCGGGTCCCGGCGCCGGGGGTCTTTTAAATCCTCGAGCTCACCCCCTAGCCCGGGGAAACCCCATATAGCCTTAAATGTGAGAAAGAGGAGAATCCAATAAAAATAAATAAAAAATAAATAAGTGACAGTGCTAATATGAATTTGTCTGTTGGTTCTTTAACAAATCAAAAATTAGTTTTTGTTTAATATAAATTCCAGTAATTACAATTTTTATTATTGAAGTAATTTTTTTTATTAGTGATTGGAATTATGATGCATACCATAGTATATATTATAATTTTATAATGAAAACAACTATATGAAAAACTTAAAGAAAAATTAATGAAAAATTAATTTCTATTAACAGACACAAATGAATGTGAACAAAACCCGTGTGGTAAAAATGCGATTTGCAAAGATAATGAAGGTGGATATACATGTAGTTGTAAAGAAGATTATACTGGAGACCCTTACGAAGGATGTGTTGGTATGTTGATTAAATCACTTGTCATATATCTAAATGGTGTAAATTGATTAGACTGTATATAATTTATTCATGCTTCATTATTAATTTTCAAATCAATAATCACAGATCTCAATGAATGTGAAGTTCTTGAAAGGCCTTGTGGTGCAAATGCTGTATGTGAAAATACAGAGCCAGGTTATAACTGCCTATGTCCTCAAGGATTTGAACCACGCCCAAATTCATCTGTCCTTTGTGAGCAAGTATGTAAAGGTTCTCATAACAAAGCTTTTTTGATACTTAATATAATAACTTGGTTTAATAATCTTTTGTTTTATTATTCAGGTTGATGTAACAGTCTTATGCAAGAGTAAATTTGACTGTGTCAACAATGCAGAATGTATTGAAGGACAATGTTTTTGTCAAAATGGTTTCAAAGCAAGTGGTTCAATTTGCCTAGATATTGATGAGTGCTTAAAGGATCCATGTGGCCCTAATTCAGTATGTAGCAACACTCCTGGAAATTATAGCTGTGATTGCCTATCTGGTTTTGTGGGCAATCCCCCAAGGATTCAGTGCAAAGGTACTTTACATTTACATAATATTAATTTAATTGTTCCTTGGTTTTTTTTAGTTTTTTCTCTTTAATCTTGTTATTTTACTAATTAAAATTACATTGTTATATACTCTTCATCACAATTTATTTTCTTTCTTTACTACATTTGGACTAGCTCATGCCATCATCATGCTCTTTTACTTTCTCTATTGAACCAAAATAGTCTCATTTAATAGTTCAATTTAGACTCTAGATAAGCCTAATTAATAAACTAAGTTTAATTAATTAATAAATGTCCCTCCACCTAAAATCGTGTTATTTTAATCATTTTAGCCCCATGTGAAGAAGTAAAATGTGGACCACATGCCTTCTGTAAGTCTGAAGGCCACGAAGCATATTGCATTTGTGAGGAAGGATGGAATTACAACCCAGTTGACATATCAGCAGGTTGCATAGGTGAAGTAAAATTTTTAATATATAAAATATATAACTATTAGTTATACATTATGACTATACAAAGTGTCCCGTAAATAGAGAGAAATTTTTATAGGAGTGATAGTAGATCTCCAGAGGTACAAAAATAGTTGATGTAACCATTGGTCTGGTTTTGAACAGAAAATTAGGAAATTTAAGTTTTGTGTTTTTTTAAGTGTCATGTTTTTTTTTAGTAGGAAGTGATAACCAAAGAAATATTAAATTTAAGTAATTAACAAGTACTTTACTGTAAACTAGACAAAATTTGCTTCAAATAAAAATAGAATTTTGTTATTGTTAAAACTATTTACAGGAGGCTTTTGAGCAGTTAAACTAAGCTGTTCATTTTTTTTTAATTCATATATTATTTGTGATTTTTTTTTTATCATCATTCAACTGTACTATAGATGCCCAACTTTTAGAAAAACTTACTGTTTTAATAAGCTTTAAGACGATATTAATTAAATTAAGGTTTAATAGGTAAAAACTTGAGATTCGCCTCAAGTTGTGTAAAAAAAAATGATGTGATTATTTACCGTTTTCCCTAAATGTTAATTACTTAAATTAAATATTTCTTTAGTTATCACTTACTACTCAACAAAAAACATGACACTTATTATATGATATAAAATTTCCTACTTTTCTGCTTGAAATCATACCAGTGTTTATATTAACATTTTTGTAGCTCTTGAGGTCTACTATCTCCTATAAAAATTTCCCTCTACTTATGGGACACTCTGTATATATATAGTTATTACAATGTATTCATCCAATATTTAAAATTACAAACATTTAGTAAATCATTTTACAACTCAACAGATATTAACGAGTGTGATGAATCTAATGGTCCTTTTGGTAAGTGTGGAGAAAACGCAATATGTGAAAACAATCCAGGTTCATTTAGCTGCCAATGCAAACCTGGCTTTTCTGGAAACCCTTTTCATCAGTGCACTGGTAAAAATTTCTTTTTTATTTCTACAAATCTTTTATATGTTGACATTGAAATTTATATTAAACAAATAATTTATTTATTTTTCAGACATAAATGAGTGTGAAATTAGTTCTTGTGGTCTTGGTGCTGTTTGTGAAAACACTATTGGTTCTTTCAAATGTAGATGCCCTCCTGATACCATTCCAGATCCTGACCCATTCACAAGATGTGTCAGTATTGTAACATGCAACAAAGACTCTGACTGTCCCGGAAATGCCATTTGTGATGACCAACATCGTTGCTTTTGTCCAGAACCTAATATTGGCAATGATTGT